CCTTCCTTCCTTCCTTCCTTCCTTCCTTCCTTCCTTCCTTCCTATCCATCCATCCATCCATCCATCCATCCATCCATCCATCCATCCATTAAAAATGGTTACAGAAAAGCTCTGAGCAGCTTACAAATGGTACAAAAGTAAAATAGAAAGAATTCAAAGGAAAAAGCATCAACACATCAAACCCAGTAATAATCAACTTCATAGCTTTTGACATCCTAAAGAACAAAGTGCTAGTAGCAACCAATTCTTACTGCAGGGAGGGGACTGAAGTAAGAATTGGTTGCTATTGAGTCCCCAGGGACTTACTGAAACAGGCAGGTCTGGGGAGCTTTTCTGAATGTCAACAGGTGGATGTTGACCTGACCTTGGGTAAAACACAATTCCAAAGGAGAAGGGCTGCTACAGAAATGGACGCAGACTCTTGTGGTCCCTGATGAGCACCATTCTTCAAGGATGAGACTTGAAGGGTGTCTTTCCTACTAGATCTTTCTGAACTGGCAGAAACTGCTAGGGGAAGATGGTCCGATAAATAACCAGATTCTGAACAATGTAAGGGTTAAAGGTGACAACCAACATTGGAAGCCAATGCTGGTGCAACTCTTGCATTACTCAAGAAACTGTGAGATACAGTTAAATAGAGCTGTGCCAATCTGGACCAGCTATAATGTCCAGGTGGTCTTCAAGAGTAGTCTTATGTAGGTCAAGTTGCAATAGTTCAGTCAAGGGAGGACCAAGGGATGTTTGACTGTAAGAAACGCCTTCTGATCCAAGAATGTTTGTAACTGACAAACAAGATGCAGTTGTGCAAAGGTCCTCCTAGTCACAACTGCTACCTACTCTTCAAGCAGGAAATAGGAGTCCAGAACAATCTCAAAGTTATGAACTATTTCAGTCCAAGGGAGTGTGACCCTGTCCAGAACTATAGATGGAATATGACTGCTTTTGAACACACATCCAAACTGCCCATCCAGTCTGTGATGGAATTCAGTCCAAGCCTGTTTTTCCTCATTCAGGCCTTCACAGCCTCCAGGCATTGAGACTGCACCTCAATCTTATCTTCATTTCAGCTCAGGATTGAGAAGTACAGCTGAATACCATCAACATATAACTGTAAACTATAGTTTATAGCATTGTCCAAACTCACCCAAATCAGTCAATGAATTATGATTAAACAAAGCATGATTTGAAATGGTATGTCAACCTAGTCTTTGGGATCAGTAATCACAAGTTTGGGACATGGGTTAGTTAACCAACTCTAACAGTTACAAGAAGCTTCATAGTAGAAGTGGCAATAATAGTAATTTTAAAAAAGGTTCTTAGGAGACCCAAAGGGTACCTAAAATGAGAAAGGTCATCTTAAATGTCACCCTTTCCAGAATGTGCTGGGCTAGTGGGGATAAAATTACACACACACACACACACACACACTCTTTCCTCAGATTCTTATAAACCCTGTGATCAGTAGCACCAAGGTTAACACATGTAGATGTCACTGTAATAAAAGATGTTACCAAAAGGAAATGTTTCCTAATTTCCTTAAAGGTTGCATGTTGCCTTTCTTCCTTAACTATAATGTTTCTTCCCAGAATTGTACTGACAAGACCACATCATATGAGTTAAAGAACCTTCAAATCTCTTACAACAACATAAAATGTGAATATCTTTTTAAACATTTTTGATGAGTCCAACAAACACAAAATAATATTGTCTGATGAATTAATTTCATTTTTAAATCATAAAACGTATATTTCACATTTCTTAATTATGGACCCAGTGTTTCTCCAAAGTTGGATGGGAAGGAATGATAAAAGATCAAAGAAGAATTTGACCATTCACAAAACAGCTACTGAGTGATACAGCAACATTGGTGAGCTGATTAAGATATGCAGCATAATAAGAAATCCTGATCTCAGTTTGTTCCATGGGAAATGGTGTTAAACTTCCTGAAAAATTCTAGCTCACCAGTTTTATCATGAGCGTCAACTTTTTAATCCTTTCACTCAAGGGTGACCACCCTGAGGTCAGCAACAAAGTGTCCTGGGAAGTTGACAACAAGGATGGCATTTGGCCAGCCAGATTGTGAAGGAAAGCCTGTTTGAAATGGAACCTGATGTGTTTCCAAAGAGATAATGTAAATTGGAGCAAACCTTAAGTGCAAAAAAGTTTCTGATCACAGAAAACTTGCCCGTCCCCTACTGGTAGAGGAACTGGAAAGCAATGTGCACAGACCAAAAATAAAATAAAATAAAATAAAATAAATAAAATAAATCCAGTGGCTTAATTTAACAAAAGCTGGAAACATTTGAGAATCGTTATTGCAGTTCTGACAGTTGTAAGGCCACTTACACACTATACCTGTGGGAGGAAACTGTGGTGAAAACAGACAATTAACCCCTGAGAGCAAAAGGGAGGTGTTGCAGAACACAATTTGAGTATGACACACAGCCAGTGTTAAAAACTTTGTAGGTCCAGCGTGTTGCTCAAGCAGCCTTGAGGGTGAATAGGAAAGAGGTGAAGAGAGACAATTGTTGGGGACATTGATGGGACGCTGGAACAACAGAGGATCCTCCAAAGGCAGGATTTGGAGCACCCCAAAGAGCAACCTGCCAAATTCAGCCCCGTGGGACACAATCTTGGTTTCTGTTTTTATATAATTTTATTAAAGATTTTTTAAAAGAAAATCAAGACTAATACAAACTAATATAAAGTAAGAGAAAGAAATCAAAGAGAAAGCTAAACGTGCAAGAAGGGGGGCGAAGTAAAGGAAAAATAGAAAAGACAGAAAAAAGATACAAAGAAGTAGCTTCTAATTTTCTTTACAGCAGTTGTAAAGAAAAACTGTATACGTTTATCTCTTACTCTATGGTTACAACATACCTCTCTTCTTTGTATATTCTGTCTAATCATCAAAACCATAAAGCAATCCTGGTTTCTCAATGTGATTGCAAAAGTCCTCCAGAGGCAGACACTGTGGTGCATGGACTCACATAGTAGAGTCAGGCAGCTTTCAACGGAGAAATGTCCCAGTGTTAGAACGGCTGAGCAAAGTAGTTTCAGGAACCCTGGTCAGGATGGAAAGAAATTTCTGTCTGAAGAAGGAGCAAGAGAGCAGAGCAAACTATGATGGTTGTATAGCAGAATGGCTGTCTGGAGGAGGGAGGGGTTCACTGGTGCAGAAAGTTCTTGGGGGATCACTCATGGAAAGTATTCTTGGGGCTCTTTCTCTATCCGCTGTTAGGGAAGTTCCATTGGAATATGATTTCTTGTAACTGAAATCCACTATTCTGTGTCCTGCTCTGCTGGGGACATCTCTGAATAATTGTTGCAGCTCCAGCTGTTTATGATAATATTTGCTTCCTATCACATTCCTCAGCTAGATCTAGCCAGCCTCACCCTAGTGAGACATGGCTAGGATGTTTGAGCAGATACAAGAATGGCTGAGAATCTGGTATGTCCTGGTGATGATTTCCATGGAAGCAGAAAGGCCATGGAGTGGTAAGAAGGGATGAAGGATATCCAGCTTTATATCTCCACCTCAGGCCATCTGAGTGATGCCATGGAAGTCTTATCTCTGTGCCTGGAGGCTATGGGGACCCAGATGGGGCACAACAGGCTTCAGCTCAACCCAAGCAAGACTGAGTAGTTTTTGGATGGCACTGCTACAGACAGAACCAGTGCGCCATCTGGGGGTCCTTCTGGACTCGCGGCTCCTGCCCAAACAGCAGGCGGCAGCTGTGTCTAGGAGACCTTTGTACACCTTTGGGTTGTGTGTCAGTTGAGTCTATTCCTAGACTGGGGAGCCCTGCTCATGGACACTCACACCCCCATGTTCTCCCATATTGACTAATGCAATGTGTTCTACATGGGATTGCCCTTGAAAGCATTTGGAATCTTCAGCTGGTTATTTGGCACATGTGACACTACTGTGCAAGTTACATTGGCCACCAGTTTGCTTCTGGGTGCAATTCAAGGTGCTTTAAAGCCCTACATGGCTTGGGGCTGGGATACTTATGGGACCGTCTATTCCTGCTTGTTTCTACCCATCCTATCTGATCCAGCAGGAGAGGCACGCTGCAGGTACCATCAGCCAAAGAGTGTCAGCTAGCAGGGCCCTGAAGAAGAGCCTTTTCTGTCATGGCACCTGCCCTCTGGAACATCATCCCTCCTGAGATTAGGTTGACCACCGCCCTGCTGGCTTTGAAAACCTGGTCCTCTGCCTGAGCCTGGGGTGTGGGACACAGCCCGTTTCTTAGTTATGTTGAGGGCTTTTTTATGATTCTCTTGCTGCTGTGTGTTTTATTTCTTGTTCTATTTTAATGTTCGTATATAGTTTTTAACTTGTTTTTAATGTTGTGAGCCACCCAGAGTCATGTACTTGAGATGGTTGGCCATATAAATCAAATCAATAAAGCAATGTCTCTGATATATATAACAGACTGTCTGCTGAGACAGAGATGAGTATAGATACAGAGAACTGAGTCACAATTCTCCAAGCATCTAAGAGTGCTGGCCATACTTTTAGAGATCCCTTTACTGAAATGCTACCTTTAGAAGTTAAAAAATAATAATTATACTTTTTGATTAAGCCAGGCTCCTGTTAATTCTTCCTCCCTGTTCAGTCTACTATCCAGAATATATCCTCTATTAGATGACATCACTGGACTAATCCAGAGTCTTCCAAACCAGATCACAATCCTTAAAGACTGCCACAAGTCCTGGCAGGCACCTCGCATTGCATCCCCTGCCCCCATTGATCATAGCAATTGCTCAGATCACTTTTTTGGGATAATCTTAGCAAAGTGCCCGATAATTTTTACACTCAAATTTGACTGAGATCTCCATCTGACACAGCTCAGTTAAATAAAAACCAGTCCCAGGTCATCCCTAATGGCATCAGATTTGGAGTGCAATTGTACTGTGCATGTTGGCTTCCAGCTTCGTATGTTGTGACAGACTAACCCAGTGCGGGGTTATCCAAGACATCATGCTGAAATAGGCAAACCCAATTATCACATATCGCAGCAAATTTCTACAAACATGGCTCATTAAACACCTGCTTATCTACGCAATGATAAAAATGTAGAATCCCTGCCCTTTTTCAGAATCCGGCCAATGTAAAATGACATAGTAAACCTATTTCTTAATTCTCCTTTGAGGATGAAGGAAAGCAATTCATTAGGGAACTATATGGTAAAAAATCAGAAGCTGGGAGGATTATAACTCATTCGCACAAGGAGATATTTAAAGAGAAATTATCTCTACACATAGACTGTTGTATTCAGCTGACAATACTAAATATACATAGCAATTTACTGAAAGTTGCTGGCCAGAAATGGTCGACGCTTCAGCGGTTCGAGTCCAGCCTTCGCGTT